TGGGAATGGTCGATCCATTCTTCAAGAAATAAAAGATTTTGATATCCACCAATAGGACTTTTTAATAACATGTCGTTCGCATTCCTTTCGAAATACCTGGTGTAAACCAGACACAGACAAATGGGATGATAGAAGCATGTTTAAATTCCACGTCCATGGAAAATTTTTGTTTTCGCACACTAATAGCAGATATTTCTATCGTGTTTGCGAAATTGCTGACTAATCGCATTAACAATAATCAGTTACATAAAAATCAGAGAAATGGCACATTACTGGCGAGGAAATATACGAGGACCCTTAGGGGCCCGAGTACTTTAGGTTTCGAAAGAAGTAGTGTAATTTTAGTGACGAGTTTTGTATTAAATTTTACCTGAAATCGTATTTTAATGTAAAGTTTCAATTTTCATATAGAACTTTTGATTAATGTCAATCTGTCAGGTTCGGCCGGAAAAGTGACAGATGCGGTCCGTAGATTGACAGGCGGCAGGAAAAGTAGTCTGGTAAAGTTTTACTACCTCTGTTATGGAAACGAAAATTTCCTGACCTAAAGTAGGCATGAAAATGAATGAATTATGCATCTGGATTCTGGATTATGATAAAAGTGTGGACAGGGTCCTCGCGTACCTAGGACTCAAATTCGGGCCCTTTGTACTACCCCCCTGACTAAAGTCGTCATTCAAGTAATTCCACACGTGAGATGATGGGTGCTCGAAGGGGAGGCGGTTCTAATAGTAGGCCAGTGCCTGTTCCTTTCCTTGTTTTGGGATGCTACAACCTCATCAAGAAAGATGCATAGATTTGTAAGAACGGTATTTTATGGTGGAAAAAGTATGTCAACTCAACCCCTATTTGACAAATGTGACAAGCTGACTGATCAAGTATGCGCAATTGTGCACAGATGGGTGCAAGGATCTTAAGGGAAAGTTGCGTACGCTCTGGTTACGACCGTAGGGCATTGCTAAGTAGGGAGTATTGAAGTATAACCCTAGAATGCGAGTGTGTCCCAAGTGTAGGTGGTGAGTGAATAGTGCAAGCCGTCGTGTTGGCCGTGCTTTGTTATTGTAAAACCCCTGACGATATCCGGATATATTCCTAGCGCCCGATGATTATACTGCCGAGTTTCTGGTCATGGTGTCGACCGAATACGACAAATCTAAGGCCTCATTGCTAACAAAAACAGGGGTCGATATCGACCTGCAGGCGTTTTCGCAGGGAGGGCTGCGAGTCATAGTCAGAAGGCCGAAGCAAGAACTGATTTTAAACAATACACGTGGACACGGCGAACCCCTTTCTCAAATAGACATCATATTGGCCCTTCAGGATATCATCTACAACGACGCATTCTACCCCAATTGCCGATCGGAGCATTCGGAGGTCCAGGAGGTCTTAGAGCCAGGGACGGGACGTAATTGGCGATGACCGCGGATTAGCAATTGTGATGTGTGTTTACATGACTCTCGAGCGCCCCTTATGACCGTAAGCGTAGGTTACAGAAGGATACAGATTTCTAAAGGCGGCTACAGACACAGAAACCTTCCTTGAGATGTGTATGGGCGTACATATCTCGAGGAATGTATGTGTGTCTGTAGCCGCCTTTATGAAAGGCAAGTTTACAGTAGACTGGTCGCATCCTCGGTCGCATCTTAATAATGAGCTCTGACCAACAATTTAATTAGCTACTTCCCTTGTTAAAATACCAACACCCGTCATTACCGATTGGACTTTGAAACGTAAGGTGGAAAAAAAAGATAACGGGTAAACATCCCAACCTCGGCTGGGGGCAGTACGGTTATGAGAGCTTGACTAACACAAAATCTATAAATAATTATAATATCTATAATAGCAACAAGCAATTACTTAGATAATAAAGTTATGACGCAGAGAAGCTACATAAAAATTTGGTCACGTTCTGTTTTACTAATGAAACCGCTCGCTGGAAATGTACCTCTATGATATTAATGTATGATAATTCCGTATAAAAAAGATGAATTTGGATTGCTACTTCCCAACAGTACTTGGTCTTATCGTTATCGGAATGATTAGCACTTTTGGTATTAATTTGGGTAATAGTTCCCTACATGGAAACATTGATGCACCTAATTAATCGTATTTCTCCATAAGAGAGATAAGGAAATAAGGAATCCAAAAAAATATTTTGTGATAGAGCTCCAATCAACTTCTTTTCGTAATCAAAACAATGACTTACGTATTACCCCCCATGACGTCTACGCTCTCATATATAAACTCACATACGAATCCGTACACTTATTCTTCAAAAAGATGTTGCTCTCTTGTGCTATTTTCGCCTTGTACTCCGCGGTGGGAGGTAAGTTATTTTCAAAATTGTCTTTATCGTGCCTTACAAAAATAACGCGATCCATTCCTTGTGAGTGTTATATGAAGTGCAGCGATAATTTTAAGACATTTATCGAACTTGTTGAAATGTTCTAGTTTAAAGTTCGTGTGATAATAAACGGCTTTGTTTCAGTGATATCGTACAATGTAAGTCTCGGGGAGTTGCCCAAAGATATATCGCAGCAAGTGCAAGATATGGTACGGAATCCAGATCTGAAGTTACCAGTAAATTGCAAACGGCGTTTAAAACCGCAACTGCATTTCCATCTGTACAATCGCGAACACTTGACCACACCCATTGAATTGAACGTAAGCGACGCCAAAGAGCTCGCCGATGGCAAAGACATCAAAATCTTGATCCACGGCTGGTTGTCCTCGTCAAAAGACCAGCAAATGCACGAACTCAAAGACGCGTACCTTCAACAGTATGACTGTAACGTTATACTAATCGACTGGAGCAAGTCGGCGAAGCAACTGTACCACCTTTCGTACTGTCACGCCTCAAACATCGCGCAATTCACCTCCAAAGTTTTGTGCCATTGGCACGAAAAGATAAATTTAGATTTGAATAAAATTCACATCGTCGGCCATTCAATGGGGGCTCATATTGCCGGCTTACTATCTCAAGAAGTCAAACCCAAATGTAGGGCGGAAGTGGGAAGAATAACCGGACTCGACCCATCCAGAGCCCTATTCAGCTCGCCCGGCAAAGACCTGATGCTCTCGAAATCGAATGCGAAGATGGTCGACATAATTCACACGGACAACGAAGTATTTGGTATTTTAAATAATCACGGAGACCTAGACTTCTACCCAAACTGTGGCCAAAGACAACCGGGATGTGAGTTGGAGTCTCCAATTACTGGCGATACTCTACTTTCTGAAGGTCAGAAGTTCGATGTGATTTAAATGTATTGGTCTTACTTTCCTTTGTATTTCAGTTATGTGCAGTCATATACGGAGTTTGGAATACATGGTGGAAAGTATTAGACACGGAAACGCAATCGCAGCAAGCTGCCTGATGTGTCCCCGTCTCTGCCGTCCAGATTACGGAAATGACAGGTACATGCCAATGGGTGAAAAGGCAGTTTTAAAAACGCAATCGAGGAAATCTAAAGCTTTCACCCTGAGCACGTACAGCACTCCGCCATATTTCAAGGTGTGGCAACCGTACGCCGATGTATGATGTACCTACCTGTTTTACCGTATAGTATTTGAAAACTATTTATTTTTTCTAAGATATATGTATAACCGTTTTTTATTTACAATACAACTTTCTACGTAGTATACCTACGTGTATTATGTTTGTTTGTTTTATTGTTTGTGACCATAAATTCCGCTTGCTCATATGGTTTGCTAGCCACAAAAATTAGCCAGTGCATCCATAACCATCTAATAATTAATTACAAAATTCAGCCAAGGTGACGTTTTCCGTTCACCAGAAACAAGGCAGAAAAAAGCTTTATCTTAAGAAAAATTGTGTTACTGTGTCACTATTGTCAGTAAAGGTTCAAATTACACGATGTCTCAACAATAAAGTTTACCAATGATCCTTGTTCACCTTGCCTTATTAATTTAAGTTAATTTTGACACATGAGAGTATGTACGGTCACTGATTCTGACACAATTAATTCGCCCCACAATGCTCAACTGCAGTTAATACCTTTTATTTCCAATTCGGACATTCGCCAAGATTACAAAAATGGTATACATCTTTATCGATTTCCACGTTTACACCAATACACGATTTTCGGAGTATAAAGCCACTATTTTCATTCTTTTATAATGCTATATCGAAAAAAGTGTGGTCTTTAATAATATATTATAATGAAAACTATTAGTGCTCCCCCTCCATTACCATGCAAAAGTACGCCACTGGTCACAAATTTAAAGTACGCAGACAGGTAACAACCTTTCTATAATTTTGGATACCCTTCTTTAAAAAATGCTCTTTTGAAAATATATGTCCCGAAATTTCCAGGTACAGACTTGAAGTCGAGAGTAATGTTGATAAAATGAGGTAGAATCACCAGGTTAATGTAGGTAGAATCAGGTAGATCACGTGATGTCGCCAATGTCAATCTTGTAAGATGGTGGGTCCAGATAAAAAATGTGATGTCATTCACGTACTGCGTATGTAAAAGGTAATAAAAGTAATCCAAAATGCACTGGTCCAACGATGAGAACAGTTAAATTTGAGGAAGGATAAAGAAACTGTGGGTAAAACTGAGGAATTGTGAGGGAGGATAAGAGAACTTGAGGAAAACTGCGAGGAAATTTGAGGGAAGAATGAGGATAGATAATAGAACTATAAGGAAAGATAAAGGCATACGTGAGGGAAGATAAAGACCTAAAAATAACGTATTAAGGAAATGCTACGTCATAAATGTACATCCCTCGTGCTGATTATGTGTAAATACAAATCTGTAAAACGCTTCAATAGAGCACAGCCACAGACATCAAAAAGAGAAAGAGAAACCACTACAAAGATATGTGGTGACAGCCAAAACTGATAAGCCCTTATGCAGGTAGACAAGAAGTCAGTAGAAAAGTACAGGCGTACAGAAGAAAAATAATCTTTAAACGGGTTCCCAAAGGAAATACAGTAGACTCGCGTTTATGGGAACATTCGCATAGGTATATGACCGATTCAGTAACGTGAACAACAGCTACTCTAACTCTGTAGTGTGAACAACGTATAACATGAACAGTAAGTACATTTAGTAGCTTATTAGGCAGTTTTGTAGGAAGTGCAGAAGCGAACGCATGTGTTTGAGAATAGTGCGTTCATAATTTACAAAATGGCACATTATTATAACGCAGGGCTTATAAGTCCAAACAACATTTAAAAAATCAAATAAACCTCCTAATAAGTCAACAAGTGCAAAAATGCAAAGTTGATTGTTGTACAAATTCAGGTTTCGTTTGAAATTCTGGGGTGGTAACAATTTGACCGCTATTGTCTTCTACTCCTTTGCTTAGGTATTTAATTCGTACTGACAACTCTCATCTTTCAATTTGCGATACAATTTGTTTAGATAAAGGTACTTACAGATACAAGATTACGATAATCTATTACATTAAAAGGGAGATACCTGGTTTTAGACGATAGCATTAGACAAGTGAAGTGACTTGCAGAGAACCATGGCATGCAAACTGCTGGTGATTCTACTTTTTGTTGCCGGAGGTGAGTTTTGTAAAAACGGCATCCTCGAAACCGACAAACAAAATTCTAGCGCATTCCCTGGAGCCAACAGTAGGAGATTTGCCCGATGAAACGCTCAAAGAACTGGATTTGATTCACAGTAATAAAAAAGTCGCGGAAAATTGCACAAATCATAAACCTGGAACCATTCCTCAGTTTCTTTTATTCAACCGCGACCATAGAGAGACCCCAATTGTACTATCTTCCTCCAATTTGGACCAAGTATTACCAGAAAAAGAGACGATCGTGCTAATAACGGGGTGGCTCACAAGCCATGACACGCCGTTCTTTAAAGAGATGCGAGATGCATACCTAGAACGGTATGACTGCAATTTGATCATCGTAGATTGGTCTAAAATCGCCCTGCTGCCTTACACCTACATTCACTGTGAAGTGCCATCGATCGGGTTACGCGCGGCAAAGTTCCTATGTCAGCTTAGCAGAACCGTTGAACTAGAACTAAACCAAATGCATGTGGTGGGTTACTCATTCGGCGCTCAAATCGCTGGATACCTTGGCAGATACGTCAGGTTGCAATGCGACCAAGAGATTGGAAGAATAACTGCATTAGATGCAGCCGGACCACTCTACGAGAGCGCGGCTGCGAACAAGAGTCTTACCAAAACCGACGCGTTGTTCGTCGACGTCATACACACCACGAGCTCATTTGGAATGTGGAAAAATTGCGGGAAAGTCGATTTTCATCCCAATTGCGAATGGCGTCCGCAGCCGGGTTGCCGCGATCCTTCACCAACTGACAAAAGCGCCCCGGTGGCTGACAGTAAGACTTAAATGACCACGTTAACGTGTTTTAATTTGTACTTTTAGCCTTGTGCAGCAGTCTACGTAGTGTTGAATACATGACAGAAAGTATACAGTCCACTCAGTTAATTGCGGTAAGCTGTAGTCTCTGCTCGAGGTATTGCCACCCGGATATTATTACGGAAGTGTATACGTTTATGGGCGAAGAATGTAGGACGATACCAAAACCGGCTAAGAATTTTATGATTAGAACACGAGATAAGCGTCCGTATGGACAAGGAATGTTGCCATATCAGTAAATTGATAACATTTACGAATAAAAAAATTGAAGAGCAGAGCCTTTATACTACAAAATTAGGTTCTTTCCCAACTGCATATTAGTGCATTTACTTACATGTAAAAATAACGATTAAAACCACAAACAGATCAAACTTAGTTTGCTTCCATAGATACAATGCGTTTCGCAATAGTCGGAATACCTAGATCAAGATCTAGGGCAGTTTTGGGCTGAAGGGTGTTCAAAAACTTCATAATGAGAATGATGTTAATCATCCGATAAAGACACAGATATGTCATTTTTCAACCACGCCAAAAGTTATAGGTATATGGTCACGTGTGGCCCGTAAAACAGGCGTAAATCGTCTAAATTTTATAACAATTTGATTGTGTGCGTTTAGCGATTTATTAACAATTTTGCACGCTCGTCCTTATCATATTGCAATATCATAAGTATCATCCCCCCTCCTCGCCTCGGAAGAAGATACTCACTCAAAAAAATTGGAAATAATGTAATCAGGGTCGAGTGGGTTGCGAATTGTGATTAATTTTTTAATTTTTCATGTTTTAATTTCTGACATTTCTCGAATTTTGTGTACAGAAAATTTCATACTTGCTTTGCCCCATATCTTTGCTTTTGCTTTGACAATGCAGATGTGGAAAACGCTACCTTCTAGTTACTGTGCGGTCCATTATAATGAAGACTGATTTTATAGTATCTATTCTCAATTTCTTACAATCGTTCCATAATTGCATAATTGTTTAACAGTTGCAACAATCGTTACACACTCGCCACGAAACAATCGGCCTGATCTGTACACATACTTTTGGGGTGGATCATATTAAGATATGTAAGAGAGATAACAGGTAAAAACTGCTTATTTTAGATATTTTTACGTAGAATCTAGTGGCGTAGTAAAAAAAAGTTTTTGGCTCCCTTTTCTGAGATTTCACCCAAAGTTGGTATTTTTTAAATGCAACACCCTGTATATGTAAACGTCAATTTTTTGCATTCCTTTTCCTGATTACATTGATGTATGAAAACCCATATTTTAGCCATAACCCAAAAATAAAAACCTGTTTTTTTACGGTTTTTAAATAGTAGGCCATGGATTCATTGATTATGTTGTTTTTATTGTATTCATTGGTTACCAATCAATAAAAATGGCCGACGGTCATTTCAAAAATTTGAAAAATATGAAATAATATAATTAGCTATATATAAAAAAAGATTTATTCAAATTCTTCAGTTTCGCCATATCTTGGGACTGATCATTTTTAAGTTCCGATTGTTAAATTTCAAATTCTACAAATCCAGATGGTTCTTGCTCAAGATTCTTTGACTTCTCGCGTTTGAGCAAACTCTTTCGACTTCTCAAATGTTCACGACTTCAGAGTTAAATGATTCTTAGGTTTTTCTATTGTGTACATCCACAATAAAGTACACACAAGTCGACGCGTAAACGAGACAATTTTTATTTACCCGTAGATGCCCACCGTTGAGTGTAGATAGAATGAGAGTAATAGAAATAATCTGCTAGAAATGTTTTAAGGGTACACTGAAACCTCTCTGTGAATGCCCTTGGCAACCAATATAGGGCGAATATTTCCCAAACCAAACCAACTTATTCAATGATTAGAAACGGGCCCATTTAGGAACCCTACTATAAGGTAATCAGAGTTCACATCAGAGTTGTCTTCTACTCCTTTGCTTAGGTAGCTCATTCATTCTGACAAATCATATTTAACTTCGCGATACCATTCGTTTAGTTTAGATAAAGGTACTTACAGATACAAGACTACGATAACATATTCCATTAAAAGGGAGATACCTGGTTTCAGACGATAGCATTAGACAAGTGACTGACTTGCAGAGAACCATGCCAAACGAACTGCTGCTGATTCTACTTTTTGTCGCCGGAGGTGAGTTTTGTAAAAGCGGCATCTTCAAAACCGACAAACAAAATTGTAGTGCAATCTCTGGATCCAAAAGTAGGAGAACTTCCAGCACAAACGCTCAAAGAACTGGGTTTAATTCACAGTAATAAAGAGGTAGTGGAAAATTGTACGAATCACAAACCTGGGACCATCCCTCAATTTCTTTTATTCAACCGTGACCATAAAGAAACGCCAATTGTACTATCTTCCTCCAATTTGGTCCAAGTCTTACCAGACAAAGAGACGATCGTGCTAATACCGGGCTGGCTTACAAGTCATGACACGCCGTTCTTTAAAGAGATGCGAGATGCATACCTAGAACGGTATGACTGCAATTTGATCATCGTAGATTGGTCTAAAATAGCCCTGCAGCCATACACCTACGTTCACTGTGAAGTGCCTTCGATCGGGTTACGTGCGGCAAAGTTCCTATGTCAGCTTAGCAGAACCGTTGAACTAGAAATGAGCCAAATGCATGTGGTGGGTTACTCATTCGGTGCACAAATCGCTGGATATCTTGGCAGGTATGTCAGGTTGCAATGCGACCAAGACATTGGCAGAATAACTGGGTTGGATGCAGCAGGACCCCTCTACGAGAGAGCGGCTGCGAACAAAAGCCTCACGAAAACCGACGCGTTGTTCGTCGACGTCATACACACCACGAGCTCATTTGGAATGTGGAAAAATTGCGGGAAAGTCGATTTTCATCCGAATTGCGAAGTGCGTCCGCAACCAGGTTGCCGT